GCCCCGTCATCGACTCGGGAATAGCCGGGGCACCCCCCACTGGCGGAGCCAGCGGGGTGGTCGGCGCCGCCTGGATCGGCGGGGTATAAGTGGAGCCGGGGACCAGACCGCAGGACTGGCGGAGGCGGGAGGGGTCGCGCCTCCCCCTGGGGAGGGGGGTAGGCTGCTGTGGGACTGTGCCCCTCCCCCCCTCCTCTCTCCCTTCTCCTCGTCGTCTCCCCCTCTCGTCTCCTCTCCTCCCCCCGGGGTTCGCAGCTCCCACGGCGGTCCACCCCCCCGCCGGGGCGAGGCCGGGGGACCTGCGGCGGCGCGCGGAGCGCACCGCCGCCGTTAGTCACGCGGTGGTCGATGTTTCGGCCGCGTGCGCTTCAGGAGACTCCGCCCTGTCGCCCAGGACAGGCCTGGGGGTAGGTGGTAGGCTCGTTTTCGCCGCCGTTGTGCGTGTTTCGCATCTTCGGAGGTCAGGCCAGCAGAATCCAGCAAAATCCTCCTCCTCCTCGCGGGCCTTCTTCCTCCTCCTCCTCCTCCTCCTCCTCCTCCTCCTCCTCCTCCTCCTCCTCCTCCTCCTCCTCCTCCTCCTCCTCCTCCTCCTCCTCCTCCTCCTCCTCCTCCGTCTCCTCCTCCTCCTGATCCTTCCCAGGCTCCCGAGCGCAACCAGTCTTCCGGGAACGCCGGCCCAGCAGTACAACGAGGGCCGCCCCGCCCCCCCCCCGCGCACCCTCGCGGGGCCGAAGCACCGGCTGTCTCGGCCCCCCTCCCCTGAGGATCCGCGTCGCGAGGGGGTAGGAGAAGAACAAAAAAAAAAAAAAAAAAAAAAAAAAACTTGGCGAAGGACCCAACCATATGCAGTTGTGAGTACCGTCGTTGTGAGTATCGCAATCGGTGGAGATCCCTGTGGGCCGCGAAAGGCTGTCCTGGGTAGGGGAGACGCATGTGACTGCAGCAACTGTTGCCTTCGGTGGAGTTCCCTATGGGGCCACGAAGCGCTGTCCTGGGTGGGTGGAGACGCATGCGAACTGCGGCACTGGGGCTTTCGGTTGAGCTCCCTGTGGGGCAACGAAACGCTGTCCTGGATGGGGGAGACGCATGCGAGTGCAGTTGTGGCCTTCGGTGGAGCTCCATATGGGGCCACGAAGCGCTGTTCTGGATTGGGGAGACGCATGCGAACTGCGCCACTGGGACTTCGGTGGAGCTCCTTATGGGGCTACGAAAGGTTGGCCTGGGTGGGGGAGACGCATGCGAACTGCGCCACTGGGGCCTTCCTGGGTGGGGGAGACGCATGCGAACTGCGCATCTGGGACCCTCGGTGGAGTTCCCTATGGGGCCACGGAACGTTGTCCTGGGTGGGGGAGACGCATGCGAACTGCGCCATTGGGGCCTTTTGGTTGAGCTCCCTATGGGGCCACGAAACGTTGTCCTGGGTGGGGGAGACGCATGCGAACTGCGCCACTGGGACCCTCGGTGGAGCTCCCTATGGGGCCACGAAACGCTGTCCTGGGTGGGGGGGACGCATGCGAACTGCGCCACTGGGACCTCGGTGGAGCTCCCTATGGGGCCACGAAGCGCTGTCCTGGGTGGGGGAGACGCATGCGAACTGCGCCACTGGGGCCCTCGGTGGGGCTCCCTATGGGGCCACGAAACGCTGTCTTGGGTGGGGGGGACGCATGATAACTGCGCCACTGGGACCCTCGGTGGAGCTCTCTATGGGGCCACGAAACGCTGTCCTGCGTGGGGGAGACGCATGCGAACTGCGGCATTGGGACCCTCGGTGGAGCTCCCTATGGGGCCACGAAGCGCTGTCCTGGTTGGGGGAGACGCATGCGAACTGCACCAATGTGGCCTTCGGTGGGGCTCCCTATGGGGCCACGAAACGCTGTCCTTGGTGGGGGAGACGCATGCGAACTGCGCCACTGGGACCCTCGGTGGAGCTCCCTATGGGGCCACGAAACGCTGTCCTGGGTGGGGGGGACGCATGATAACTGCGCCACTGGGACCCTCGGTGGAGCTCCGTATGGGGCCACGAAACGCTGTCCTGGGCGGGGGAGACGCATGCGAACTGCGCCACTGGGACTTCGGTGGAGCTTCCTATGAGGCCACGAAGCGTTGTCCTCCTGGATGGGGGAGACGCATGCGAACTGCACCACTGGGGCCTTCGGTGGAGCTCCCTATGGGGCCACGAAACGCTGTCCTGGGTGGGGGAGACGCATGCGAACTGCGCCACTGGGACTTCGGTGGAGCTTCCTATGGGGCCACGAAAAGCTGTCCTGGGTGGGGGAGACGCGTGCGAACTGCGCCACTGGGACCCTCGGTGGAGCTCCCTATGGGGCCACGAAACACTGTCCTGGGTGGGGGAGACGCATGCGAACTGCGCCACTGGGCCCTTAGGTGGACCTCCCTATGGGGCTACGAAACGTGTGAGGGGTGCGCCGTGAGCAGAGGCAACGAGGGAGAGGAGGGCGGAGGGAGGAGGCAGCGGGAGGAGGAGGAGGAGGAGTGAGGGAGACGCGGGGCACCGTCTCCTCAAAACGAGGACCCAACACCACAGGATGGTTGGGAAAAAAAACTCTTCCTCCTCCTCCTCCTCTTCCTCCTCCTCCTCCTCCTCCTCCCTCCCTCCCTCCCTCCCTCCCTCCCTCCCTCCCTCCCTCTTCCCCCTCCTCCTCCTCCTTCCTCCTCCTGCCTCCCCTTCCTCCTCCTGCGCCCCCTCCTACCTCCTTCCCCTCCTCCTCCCTCCTCTCCTCCTCTCCATCTCTTCCTCCTCCTCCTCTACCTCCCTCCTCCTCCTCTCTCCGCCCTCATTCCTCCTCCTCCTCATCCTCCTCCTCCTCCTCCTCCTCCTCCTCCTCCCTCCTCTCCTCCTCTCCTCCTCCTCCTCCTCCTCCTCCTCCTCCGCCCTTCCTGCCCCTCCTCTCCTCCTACTCCTCCTCCTCCTCCTCTCCTCCTCCTATCCCCTCCTCCTCCTTCCTTCCTCCTCCTCCCTCCTCCTACTCCCTCACTCTCCTCCTCCTTCCTCCCTCCTCCTCCTCCTCACTCCTCCTCCTCCTCATCCTCCTCTCATCCCTCCTCCTCCTCCTCCTCCTCCTCATCCTCCTCCTCCTCCTCATCCTCCTCATCCTCTCCTCCTCCTCCTCCTACTCCTCCGCCTCCTCCTCCTCGCATCCTCCTCCTCCTCCTCCCTCCTCCCTCCTCCTCCTCCTCCCCTCACTCCTCCTACTCCTCCTCCTGTCACCCTCCTCCCTTCATCCTCATTCCCCGTCCTCCTCCTCCTCCTCCTCCCCTCCTCCTCCTCTCCTCCTCCTCCTCCTCCTCCTCCTCCCCCTCCCCCTCCTCCTCCTCCCCCTCCTCCTCGTGCACAATGGTTCAAGCCGGATGGACCTGAGAGGGCCCTGGGGCCCGAAGCCAAGCGAAGACGCTGGGGTGCGAAAGAAA